CCGTATTCATTCTCACCTCCCCGCTCCCATTGCTCGGAGAACCGCCGACGCGGGTTCGAAGCAAACAGGGAAAGGGGGGGGAAAGCCGCCCTCTTCTCGCGAGAAGAGAGTTCGAGCGGCGCATAGAGCTATACCTGCGGCAGAGGGTAGAGTAGCCCCACTCGGTAGGACATTGAGAAAAGCTTTCAACTCAACAAGGAGACCCAGTGGGACGGGAAAGGAAAATTAATCCTTTGGTCTTTTAAGATACTACAATACTTTTGCTTTTTTTTTGGTGAAAAAAAAACTCTAAAGAAAGGCGCTCAAAGAAACGGCTTCAGAACCACACAGGCGCTGTGGTTCTAAAGCAAGCCAGGTCTTAGGATGGCCAGCTCGAGACTTTCGTGATGGTGGAAGCATAGCAGGCGAAATCCAAAGAAACAAAACAAGACAAAAAACGGGTGGCACCTTAAAGACGTAACAATTATATTTTAATGCGAGCTTCTGTGGACACGTCCACCTCGTCAGACATATGGCATCAGAAGGAAACGTTGAATGAAATGCCGGTTTTCATCTCCATTGGCGCTCGCTGGAGGATCCTCCTTGCGATGCTGCCGAGGGCTGAGGAGAGAGGTTCCCTCCGGCTCGCAGCCCTTAGCCGAGATCTGGGCGGCGTGCTTCATCCTCCCAACGCTGCCTCCTGCGTGTCCATGCAGCCGAGCTCCAGCTCCTTCGCAAGCCCAGCAGTCTTTTCTTTGCTTCAGTGGTTGAGCTGGGATCCCTCCATGTGTGTATGTGTGTGTTTGTGCCATCAAGTCGCAAACGACTTATAGCGACCCTCATAGGGTTTTCAAGATAAGTGAGATAGTTAAGGAGTGGTTTTTACCAGTTCCACTCCCCCAAACGAGTTTCCCTGGCTGAGCGTGGATTCGAACCGTCAGCCTCGGAGTCTTAAGCCGGCACTCTGTTCGCTAACTACTAATACACCACGCTGGGAATCCCTCCTTCCCGCCCTCCTTTCATACGCAAAAGAAAAGAACCAATCAACGGTTGATGCGTCACCATAGAAGGCAGGATCAAACCCCCCAATCATGATAAAAAGATAGGCGTGAGTACACCCGCCCCCGAGGAAGAGATTGGACCAATCGCAAGATACCAAGTCGCCTTCAATCACAATCACCTGGAGGGGGGGAGGGCTGACTGTCAGTGCGGGAGAGAGGGGAAGGTGTCGCACCTGGGGCATAATTTAGGGGTTGGTTAAAATCCAAGGCGGACCAAACTGTGCACAGTAAAAATCGGTGCCAAAAATCATCAGGAGGTGTTGGATAACACTTGAGAACAGTATTTTAGAACTCAAGGGCAGATTTCTCTTACTGGTTTATACTTGCCTGAAGGAAATCATGGAAAGGTGCATGCATTTTTTTGATTTACTTGTGAGTAATGAGGTAAATCGGGGACGTGGTGGCGCTGCGGGTTAAACCGCAGAAGCCTCTGGGCTGCAAGATCAGAAGACCAGCAGTCGTAAGATCAAATCCACAGGACGGAGTGAGCTCCCGTCGCTTGTCCCAGCTCCTGCCAACCTAGCTGTTCAAAAGCATGTAAATAAATGCGAGTAGATAAATAGGTACCACCTCGGTGGGAAGGTAATGGCGTTCCGTGTCTAGTCGTGCTGGCCACGTGACCACGGAAATTGTCTACGGACAGGAAACTTCGATGAGCACTGTCCCTTGCGTCAGACACGACTGGACTAAATGTCAAGGGAAACCTTAACTAAAGAAGGTACCGGCGGATGAGGACAGTGGCAGCAAGAGGGGAAAACATGGGGTGATGGAAGGCAGGTGTTTTCCTAACTTCTCAGCTGGGGCTGCTTTGCTTTATGGGGGCAGAAGTCATGGAATTGACGCAGCCCCCTTCTCTGACTTTTCTCAGACCCATCATTCAACAGACTGTGGTGTCTCTCATTTCCGTTGTTAAATAAAGTAAAGTGGCACATTGAAACAGCAATGCATCCACCTAGCATGGTACTAGAATGTTGCTGCATTGGTTGGGGAAATATTAAAAAGAAGAAGGAAATAGAAGAAATGGTTTTTGTAGGTTTTTCGGGCTATCTGGCTGTGTTCTTGAGGGTTCCCCCCCATCCTCCCTTTTAATGCCACAAGTCACAGGGTTGTCACTTTAGATATCTCCACCCACAGCTCCCATTGGGTGTGAAATAACAAACCCTGCAAGCAAACAATTCCTACACAAATGGATAATTAGGAGCATGTTTAATTATACAAAAAAGAGGCCCCTAACACTACTAAAAAAAGAGCAAGTCAGCTCTTGAAGGGAGGGATGGATTGATCTAAGCAGAAACATGTGCACACTGGAATTTGTTTGGAACCAAACTGCACCAACAATGATCCAAACAGCAGTCCATATACCAATCTGGACAGGCCCTTAGTCTTGGTGGCAAATTGGTATACCTTAATGAGGTGCTAGGGGACGTGGTGGCGCTGTGGGCTAATCCCTGCAAGCAAACAAGTCCTACACAAATGGATAATTAGGATTATCCAAAGGATGTATGTTAACAACAGAATACCTTGTGTGTATTTCTGACCTATATACCACCCCAGAGTGGTGCTAGAGAACAGTTTGCTCTGGACAGTTGGCACCATGTTGGAAGTCACTCATCCATAAGGTTGTCATAAGTCAAAGGCAATGTAATCGCTCATAAAAACATTCCAAGCAGAGCTTGGTAACTGTTTCCGTTTTGGACTACAGCTCCCAGAATCCCCTGTCACCATAGGCATAGGTTAGTATAGACTGTTCTTAGGGTCCATTACAAGAGCACATATTTTATGTGATAGTTTGACTCCCAAAGAGGGATGTGTAGGATTTTCTGCCTCAAGTGTCCAAATAATGTGGCCTGTCCTGCATGCTGTGCACCTTAATTTAACAAAAGTGGGAAAGGGGATTATTTGAAAGACTTCTTCAGTGCATAAACACTGAGAAATATTATTATTCATAGATGAGGAACAAGATGATATACAGTACATGTTTCCACAGCCAGTACACTATCAAAAACTAATCAGTAGGACCAGTTGAGGCTCTGGAGGAATAGGGTGCTGGTTGCATTCCTTTTTTGCATACCTGAGTGGTCATATACCCAGGAGCACAAGAAGCACCATATCAATTGGTGTCAAAGAAGACCAAAGCAACTATAATCATCAGTTGTGTACAACTAGATGGGGGTGATGCAGAAAGCCACAAAAACTCCACAGACTCCAAAATCTGGTATTAGTTCTAAGAAAATAATGTTTCCTCTAGAATAGAGCTCTCAATGCCAACTTTTCAGCTAACCACACCAACTGCTGGTGGTTCATGATGGTTTTGGAGACAGTCAAGAAGACAAAATATCCATAGAATCCACCTCCTGCTACTCATTCCGGGTTACAAACACACACACACATTTGGGAAAACAGGCTGGAATACTGTTTTCCAGATAAGAGGAACCATATTCTGGACCCTCAAACTTAGGAGCTTAGATGCTCCAGTCTTCGTCCCAGAAGAAGAAGTCTTCTGGCAAGATCAAGATGCTCAGATCAAGAGACTTGAACATCTTGTTAGGTCATTAGGTTGTGTCAGTGCCTGAGTTGTGTGGCATTAAATACCAAGTTCACAGAAAGTACTGTTGGGTGAACAGGGTGGCTCCTTTTAGGAAGAAGAATGAAGCAGTTGCTTGAGACAGCAGATTCCCCACCCCCCAAGAACAACAAATAGTTAATTGCTTTAAGTATTTGATTATCAAATTGTGAGGCAGACAGCCTTACAAGCCTCTCTCTTTTCTCTCTCTCTGTCCTCCTGGCCATAAAGAGAGAGGCTTGTGAAACTGTCTGCCTGGCTTATTACACAACTCAGGTATGGGAGTAAGAAGATGGCATTTACTGCACTATTTCAGACAGCAAAAGGTCTGGGCCCTACCCTTATAGGATTACTTTAATAGGGAAATGATCAGCGCTTGAGGGAGGTGACCCATTTCTCTAGCTAAGAGAAGGGTGTGTGTGTGTGAGAGAGAGAGAGAGAAGAAGAAGAAGAGGATCAATTTCGAACAGAGAACAGAAGATGATAAGCATGGGTCAAAGTCAATGGATCTAACAATTTTAAGGATTATGAATTTACTCATACTCCCCAAAAAAGTGTCTCAAGACATCACAAACCACCAGTGAAAATTATTATCTTGTCAATTTACCACCCGGTAAGATCTTTCACCCCTGCATGAAGGTGAAAAGTACAGGGCTTTTCTCATCTGCAGCATTAGCATTTTTTTTAAAGCTTGCATTCATTTCTTGCAAAGGAGCTGGTCTCAACCATAGATTTTGCGTATTCTTGAAGGCTTTCAGGGCCAGGATCTGATGGTTGTTGTGGGTTTTTCGGGTTCTTTGGTTATGTTCTGAAGGTTGTTCTTCCTGATATTTCGCCAGTCTCTGTGGCTGGCATCTTCAGAGGATTGGAGTAGGAACTGAGCATGGACTGCGTTCCTACTGCAGTCCTCTGAAGATGCTGGCCACAGAGAATGGTGAAAGGTCAGGAAGAACAACTGTAGAGAACAGCCCTGTCCTCACCTGTCCATCACAGCAGAACAGTGGAGTAGGAGCTGTTACAGTAGCGGTGATGTCATCTGCCCGTCATTGCTGTGGCTGTATGTCATCCGCCAATAGCATGACGGGAGGTGGGATATAAGAGGGTGGAGCTAGGGTATTTAAGGGGGAGTGAATGAGGTGTGAGATAGGGACTTGATAGGGTCTGGTTAGGGACTTATGGAGTTAGGGCTTGTACGTGTTGTCTAGTACTCTGCTATATATATAGAGTGAAGGTCTGAGAGAGAGTATGTGTGTGGGTACTTTATTATACTGATTGCCATGACGGGAGGTGGGATATAAGAGGGTGGAGCTAGGGTATTTAAGGGGGAGTGAATGAGGTGTGAGATAGGGACTTGATAGGGTCTGGTTAGGGACTTATGGAGTTAGGGCTTGTACGTGTTGTCTAGTACTCTGCTATATATATAGAGTGAAGGTCTGAGAGAGAGTATGTGTGTGGGTACTTTATTATACTGATTGCCTTTTATTTTAATTAATAGTGATTTACCA